CCCCCCCCCCCAAAATACCCCATCAAAGAATCAAGAATCACGAAAAGCGGCAAATTGCCAATCCAGAAAACAACAGTAGCAAGCTTAAGCCTACCTAGCCTAGCCACGAAGTTCCAGTAATACTGTAGCATATTCCCATCTTTCTTTCCATCTTATAAATAGCCGTATCAGATACTGTACCGTACGACAATATTCGAAGATTACCAGCAACAAACATGAAGAGAATTTTGGAATGTTTACTTTGACTGTACTGTACAGAATAGAATGATTGGATATGGCTGGCGACAGTTGGTTGGTTGATTAGAGGATAGAGGATACAATACCCACTGTGGTGAATTAAGGAGTGGTGGATTCTGAATTCGATAAGTAGAGTAGGAAACATCTACTCACAGCACCAGAACACGGAAAGCGTAATAAGAAAAGTAGAGTGCTAGATTAAGTAACAAAAGAAAAAGGGTATTCGGTTTATATGTTTTCTACCCACGAAGAATAGAATCTAATGTAATCTACAAACCAACAACGACGACAACATCTCCCTATCCCAATGCATCTCCATCCATCCAAAACGAAAACGAAAATACGCCAATCTACTCTATCTTAGGTCTCTCCTCAATAACCTTAGTTTTCTGTATGAAAAGCGCTCTCTCCATTGCCTTCAGTCCCTCATCGATGAATCTACATAATGTTAGTGATCTTTTCTGGGAGATAGGAAGGGAAAGGTTCAAGAACTTACATGACCGGCGCACTAATAATTAAAACTGCCTGCCACTCATTCCAATTCAGGGGAAGGATGGAGAAAAGAGTCTGTAAAATAGGCGTGTAGAGGAGCGCAAAGTGCAGCGCCATAGATAGTGCGATGGCATAGACAAGCATCATATTCTCCCAAAGTGGAAGAGTAAGGAGAGACTCGCTGGATGAGAGGGCATTCATAGCATTGAGCATTTCAATGATAACAAGAATAGATAAGGAAACCGTAGAAGCCGACTTGGCCATATCATTCGAGAACATCTGGCAGCCGATTTCGGAAAATTCGCTGGAGCAGCGGTGGAAGTGGGAGAGTTGCCAAAAGGAGATTTGTGGTCCCTGGGAATTATACATGAACCACCAGGCGTATCCGGCAACGGTTGCGAGACCGACATAGATACCGATGACCATGTAGCGGAAGAACAACCATCCTCCAATAAGTGGTTCATCACGCTTTCTTGGTCTTCGGCGCATGATATCGTGGTCGGGTGGGTTGAAGGAGAGAGCGGTGGCTGGAAGACCATCGGTGACGAGGTTCACCCAGAGGAGTTGGACGGGAATGAGAGCTTCGGGCATACCCATGGCAGCTGTCAAGAAAATCGAGACAACCTCACCAATGTTGGACGAAATTAGATATCGGATAAATTGCTGAGTGTTGTTGTAGATGGAACGACCTTCTTCAATGGCAACCTCGATAGTAGCAAAGTTGTCATCAGCGAGAACCATATCGGAAGCGAGTTTAGCGACATCAGTACCAGATCCCATGGCAACTCCAATGTCTGCCTTCTTGAGTGCAGGAGCATCGTTGACACCATCTCCAGTCATGGCAACAACCTCTCCATTGGATTGGAGAAGATCAACAAGTTTGGACTTGTGGGTTGGCTCGACACGAGAAAACAAAGATGCGGTTTTGGCAGCAATCAACTGTCCGCTCTCACTGAGCTGATCAAACTCTCGACCCGTGTAACTCTTTCCGGTCAAGTCTTCGTCTTGTCCAAAGACACCAATTTGCCGACAGATAGTTTCAGCTGTGTTGCGGTTGTCACCAGTGATAACAATTACACGAATACCAGCGGATTGACACTTCTTGATGGATGCGAAGACTTCTGGGCGAGGAGGATCTTCCATACCGACCAAACCCAAGAGGGTCAGCTTCTGTTCGAGTTGAGAGTAGTCTGATGTAGATTTTGCGGATTTCAGAAGAGGGTTAGATCCGACGTCTTCGACGCTAGCCAGGGCGATGACACGAAGTCCTCTGTTTCCATAATCGGCAACTTCCTTGAGAAGGAGTTCGGAGAGGCTCTTTGACAGTGGTACGCGTTTCCCATTCGCACCCACAAGGGTATGAGTGCAACGATCGATAATGGATTCAGGGGCTCCTTTGACGAGTAATCTTTGCGAAGCGTCGTCACCAACCAGAACAGACATGCTTTTTCGGTCTCTCGAAAATTCATAGGTAGCAAGGCGTGGGGCTCTCTTTTCGTACCACGCGCTCACATGGTTCAATGCGTCCAAGGCAGCAATTCCAGCTCGAGCCTGGTTGTGTGCGGTATCATTGGTTCCGACCTTTTCAGCAAGTACACGAAGGGCACCTTCTGTAGGCTCTCCAACACTCGAGTAATATCCAGTCTTGGAGTCCAAAGCAAGTTGTGCATCGTTGCAAAGAGCAGCGACCTCGGTCATTTGGAAAATGGTCTCAGAATTGCCCGCCACATTAGAAATTTCTTTGCCTTTTGAGGTGACATTTCCGTGAGGAGCGAACGTGGTACCCTCAACATCGAGCTCTTCGAGGTCGTTGCCAGCTTCATTGATATATACAATCTTTCTGACGCTCATCTGGTTAGTAGTGAGGGTTCCAGTCTTATCAGAACAGATTACGCTGCAACTTCCAAGAGTCTCTACGGATGGCAAGCTTCTTACAACGGCGTTCTTAGCAGCCATTTTCCGGGTACCAAGCGCCAGGCAAGTGGTGATAACTACAGCCAATCCTTCTGGAATAGCAGCTACTCCCAGAGATACGGCAATTTTAAGATAATAAATAGCTCCCTTTGCGAACCCTCCATGTGATGGATCAGCGAAATGAGGAATATTGATGAGCCAAACAGCGATACAGATCAATGAGATGACCTTGGCCAGAGTGTCTCCAAAATCGTTGAGTTTTTGTTTGAGAGGTGTTGGTTCGGAGATTTGTGCTACGATACTTTCGTGGATGTCGCCAATCGCCGTCGATGATCCAGTCAAAACGACGATTGCTGTTGCGTGACCCGTAACGACAGTTGTTCCAGAAAAGAGAATATTGATCTGATCTTGCTTCACAGCTTGAACATCCTTCACCGGCTCGGTATCCTTTCCAACACTCTCACTTTCTCCGGTCAGAATAGCCTGGTCGACTGCGAAACTGTTGCTTTGAATCGAAAGGAGTCTGCAATCTGCCGGAATTCTGTCTCCAACGGCAATAGAAATAATATCTCCCGGAACGAGCTCGTCTGCCTTGACCTTGGTGACATGTCCATCGCGAATCACCTTGGCCTCGTTGGCCGAATATTCTTGTAGTGCAGCAATCGCCTTTTCTGCGCTACTTTCCTGCGAGACACCGACCACCGCGTTGAGAATTAAAATAGTAAGAATCTGCGAGGGGTCAGTCAAATGCGCCATTGTGTTGGGGTTGGAAATACATACAACTGCAGGGTCTACAAAAGCAGACCAGCCCCCTTCTTCGAAAAGCGCCAATACAAAAGATATTCCGGCAGATCCCAGAAGAATGATGACAAGTTGATCCTTGAATTGCTCCAAAATCAACTCCCATATGGGAGTAGGAGGCTCTTCGGCGATTGCTATACCATGTCAGTTGAGATTCTGTATGTATTCAGAGGTCGGCGCAAAAGTGGATTTGAGCTTACCATTTCGCCCATGTTTGCCTCTCAATTCCTTGATTTGCGCCTCTGTCAGTCCCTGCTCTTCAGAGACTGAGAAATGGTCCAAGACCTCGGCGGTCGTCTTGGTGAATGACTTCTCCATGATCAGAAGCAGTGGTGGATTAAATCCTGAGGTGGTTATCTTAGGTACAAATCATGTACTAGGAAAGGCGTCTTGCAACCAAAAATTGCAAGAGAATTTGGAAAGTTGGTGTTGAGAAGAGGACGAAGGAAAAAGAATGCCAGATGTGGCAAAAGAATGGGAGAGAAGGAGAGGCGGGACTTTTGGTTGATTTGGCCCTTGAGATTTGGAAAAAAAAGTCCAAAGGCCAGATGGTCAGAGAGAAATCGGGAGCTTTGCGCGTGCGCGTGGCCAATCAGAGCTGGGCGCTAGGCTCAAGTAGTGATTTCCGAGCGAACTTTACTGGTGTACGGTGTACCTGCCCAGTACTTACCTGTACTAGGGCCTAGGCCTAGGTGCCTGAGCTGAGGTCGGTACATTGTACATTGCCTACTGCACCAACACCTACCTAATTCGTCGCTAGGTAGAGTACCTAGGTAGAGTGGGGGATCACGTTTCTGTTTTGACATTTACTTAGATACCTCTCCAGTAGGCTCGTAGTTACCTAGGTACCTTACGTAGGAGTACTTGAGTAGGTGTTAATACTACTAGGTCGTCGGCGATAAGTGGCTGGTGGCTGGCTGGCTTGAAAGGCTTGATCCTATCATCCCGTTCAAGCACCAGAATTGCCATTGCTTGGCGATGTCATAAACACAATATCCCTTATCGATAATGCACCTAATGCTGTGTGCACCTTCAGGTTGCTCTAGCTGTTCATATGTACCTCCCTCAGTTAGGTAGTCGAGGAAGTCTGGAGAACACATCTCTACTGACCGAGCAAAGACGTCCTCCGCCTTTAGCAGCCTTTATGAGTACTACCAGCCGGCAACAATCTAAATACACAAGCTTGACCTTCCCCATACCCCTCCTCGCCCTCCTAACCCTCCAAGCGAGACCGAAGGCATGAGAAGCCCTACATCAACACTGTGTACGTAGGTACCATGTACCATGCGTACAGTATGGGAAGAACTGCCAGTACAGCTCAACCACAAGGTAGATATCTCCAACCTTTGAGCCAGCCAAAGCATGGAACCACTTCTCTTCACCATGCCCATACTGATACTGGACACTTGGAGAAATCTTATCCGATGATTCATGCTGGATGTTGCGTTGATGGTTGTGTCATTATACCTGGAATTTCAAGCCACCAACGAGCGAAGTGATTGGTATATCATCTGCCTTGATGTCCTTCGAAGTCAGGATCCTTGGATCACCTGCATCATCATCAACTACCTAGGTGTCCCATGGTCATCCCTATCTCCGCCACAGCTCCGGGAGCTCAAGAGCTCATCACATGATCATTCCAATTCTTCTGAAGCCCAATGGAAACCCCACCTGGATTCCGATTGGGAGCACGGTCTTAATCGGTACCAGCAAAGGTTCTTCACCGCAGTAAATACTGTAAAGGGCGTCATTTTTGGTACGTTTGTCACACCAAGCCAACACGGCCACTTAGGGTGATCGGTGAGGTGACTTGTGTGGTTCCTCAAGGTGCCAGCGCATTCTACGGACCGTCATCCTTGCAAAGAATAAAGTAAGGCAGAATTGGACCATTTACTTATCACACTGCAGCTACCCAATATACCAGCTCGTTGTCTTGGATTGGATGAGATGTGACTCTTATAAATTGCGATGTTGTGTTGTCGGGTATATTTGTGGTGCACACTAGAAGTGGCAGTCAATAGGCCGAGTTGCCCCTGTTGCTGTACTCCTATCCCACCATCTGGAGGCAATTGGAAGTATTGATTCGGAAATACACAGTGAGAAGTTCAATTCTTCGAAAATTCTCAATTTTGCTCGTACGGCAGATTAAAAGAGCTACCACGGCCCCTTTTATTGTCAATATACAACGGACCCACCAGGTAGCATCACCAAACAAGCAATGGAAGGTTCACATCCAAATTTACCCACAAATGCTACCTAGGCAGTACTTGTAATTGATCGAAATATGTCAAGCTCATCGTTCCTGAAGTTTGTAGAAGTAGAATCCCTTGTGATGGGATTCCCAAAATGGTATACAACCCATGCCTTGCCCTCAACGATCCCAGGCCCAGAATCCAAGTTCCCATGTGGAGTCTTGGTGACGGGCAGGACACACCCAGTATTTTGTTACTGTATCCATCAGTTTCCATGTGAGGCGATAACCGAAAAAGGAGCAAACTGCACCACCAGACTCACCCAGACAACATAACTACACCATCCACTACCTATCCTACACATTATAACAGAAAAATGAATAGGCAAGAATACACTGGTTGAGGTATACTCTGTATCATTTGCACAAGGTGGCCGTTAGTCAGGAACACGTTGGTTTGTTTGTTGAGCTCAAGCTCTACATAGTGAATCTTGGACTCCCGTCGCTCAGTGGTTGATGGGTGCCGCTTTTAGCTCGGGCCATCCTTCTGTTTTCCCTCAACGATCCTCCTCCATCTCATCCACTTGAACAACATCTTTGCTTGCGGCGACTTCTCTACCACATCCACCACACCTTGAGCTCTCCCTTTGCACCCTTACACTCTACCATCCCAATCTCTACACATCCCCTCTCGCGAGAATGACTACCGAAGTAAGTAGCACTGCTCTCCTTTCCACTGCGCACTCTCACCTTCCCTCCTGAACCCTCATCTGATTCCCCTCCCCACCGCTGGCCTCGATCTGCCGCAGTTCTATCAAGCCATCTTATCTGTTCCATCATCTGAAAACCGCATGCTAACATCTCATCTTTGCCACAGCGTGAAAGGTTTGAGCACCCCAAGGACCCGCCTCCTCCCAAGTCCTCTATCAACCGTATACTGACAATACTACAGCAAGACCTTTCTTGCTAGGCTCTGTGAGCAAGCTGAGCGTTACGATGAGATGGTCACATACATGAAGGAGGTTGCCAAGGTACGCGGTCTACGAGAAATTATTGCCCCTGATGGCAGCCGTTGCAGAAAAAAGGACCTCATGGCTGATGACGCGTGACTGTAGTTGGGCGGAGAACTCACCGTTGACGAGCGAAACCTTCTCTCGGTCGCATACAAGAACGTCGTCGGCACTCGACGTGCGTCTTGGCGCATCATCTCGTCGATTGAGCAGAAGGAGGAGTCTAAGGGTACTGACAAACATGTTACCACCATCCGAGACTACCGTCAAAAGATCGAGACCGAGCTCGAGAAGGTCTGCCAGGATGTCCTCGATGTTTTGGACGAGTCCTTGATCCCAAAGGCAGAGTCTGGAGAGTCCAAGGTTTTTTACCACAAGATGTATGCCTTATCAGTCCAATAATCATTCCACCCTTTGGGTGAAGTATATCTCCTGTGCTAACGGATTTCTCACAACAGGAAGGGTGACTACCACCGTTATTTGGCCGAGTTTGCCTCTGGTGAGAAGCGCAAGGTTGCTGCCACCGCTGCCCACGAGGCCTACAAGGTATGACGAGAAAACACCAAATCTGACATAAACAAAGGATCCGCACTAACAACCCCGCGATTAGAACGCTACTGATGTCGCCCAAACCGAGCTTACCCCAACTCACCCAATCCGTCTTGGTCTCGCCCTCAACTTCTCCGTATTCTACTACGAGATTTTGAACTCCCCAGATCGTGCATGCCACCTTGCCAAGCAGGCATTCGATGACGCCATTGCTGAGCTCGACTCTCTGTCTGAGGAATCATACCGCGACAGCACACTCATTATGCAGCTCCTCCGTGACAACCTCACCCTTTGGACCTCTTCAGATAGCGCAGAGGCCGAGGCTGCACCAGCCGATGCTTCTGCCGCACCCAAGGAGGCTGAGAAGGCACCCGAGGCTGAGAAGACCGAGACTGCTGCTGAGCCCAAGACCGATGCCGCTCCAGCACCTGCTGCCCCCGCATCCTAGATTGCTCATTCTAGAATCTCCTCTCGATATTTCATATGCTTTCTGCCGGTATTCCTGGCTTGCTGGCGGTGTGATTGCAGCATTGGGTAGGGGATGGGAGTTGATATGAAAAGCAGAACGTGTGTGCTTTTGCGGATTCATGCAATTTGCGGATTATACACCATACTGCGAAACTTGATGACCATGTTTTCCTTTCTGGTTGCGTTTTTACTGCGGTATTTCTTACAGTTGTTGGACGTGTTTGGCGGATGGAACCATGAACCAGGCTCTTGAAGCAGGCGTCTTTCGATCATCAGAATGGCAATTTTCACAAAGGACCGTGATGGTTCAATGGCTTCTTAGGGAGATGATTTTGCCAAAGGGTACTTGGGAATCTCTCTAAATGCGATGGACTCATAGTTTCTCTGGTGGGCTGCTTTCTGACCTAGATATCCCTCTGATTTTCTTACAAATCCTCGCGTTGTCGTAGCGAATAGTACCTCGAGACCTGTACTACTCTTCTTAAGTATGTAGTCTGGTTGGTAAATTCTTTCCATACAATTTTTGCAAGTGCCTGTGAAGCCTGTGAAACTCTTTGTGACTTGTCTATATGTTTGGAGAAAGCTCTCCTGAGCCATTTGGGGAAGTATGATGGTGACATCAAATAATCACTTTTACTGTAATCACTTTGTTTCTAGTCCAACGCTATTCGGAGTTGGAGATTGATCCAGATGGTTATTCGTATCTCTTGTACTCGTAGCGAAGCCCAGATATGTTTTGTAGAAGGAAGTGCTCGTCAAAACCTTTGAGGTGCACATACTATATTGAGTCAGGTTGGCTCAAGGTGCAGGTAAAAACTTGGAGGCTGCCATTACAGTAGATCCTCCTCTGCTAGAACAAGCAGGGAATTCCTTGTTCAAGTCATGCCCTTCTCGCCAACAAAGAAATGGTCTCGAGGGCTATATGAAACACTGAAAGGCTGTCAAAACAATCCATGAAATAGCCTTCCTGGTGGTTCTGAACTTTGGCTTCTGACCTGATGGACGTTAAAGAGACTTCCCCAAGAGACTTCCCAATTTCATATCAATTGACAATAATAATAATAAAAAATAGAGCAGGGTAGGCCAAGTGCTTTGAAGCAGGAATGATTCATGCAGCACAAGAAAGGACAACCAAAGATGTGAGTAGAAGTCCAGGTAATGATTCAAAACAAGTCGTGATCCAAAAGGATATTCTTGGGCTTCAGAAATGGTCATGTTGAGATCATGCTCCAATGGAGCGTTCATTCTCTTCCTATTATGATGAGACTAAGTCTCGTTCATCACCAGCCATGTGGAGGAAGGAAGTTGAGGCTGGGAGAAAATTCAAACTTTGGGGTGAACCACTCATGACGCTATTCCAGTTTCGGACTAGGCCAGTACAGTCCTTAAGCCTCCCGCCATCCCAGCTCAGGCAGGGCGGTCGGCTAGTCGGCTCAACCTACTGAAGCCGACCTTTCTTTCCTTTTCGTGACCTGGCAACCCACACGAAGTAGCATTCAATTCCTCTCTGTCCCCTCCCCGACCTCGACCTCCTTGTCCTACTCTCGCAGTAGTATTACCCACCGTATCTCCAAACTGTGCGCCCTCGCCCTCTCTCCCACGAATCCCAATCGACGCGCCATCCTGAACTCCGATACTAACACCCTTGTTTTGCGACGATGAGTGACTTCAATTATGGAGGAACCGATGAGGAGTCTGCCGAGATCAAGAAGCTTAATGCCGAAGTGGTACGTCCCAGTTCTTTGGGTCCCGATGTGCGCCTTTACTAACACGAGATTGCGCGCAGCTCGAGAATCCCGACAAGTTTGAGAGTTGGGAGAAGTTGGTTCATGCCGCGGAGTCTCTCGAGGGGGGATTGAACCGTAATTCCAGCCCACAAGCGATCACAACCACCCGTAATGCCTACGATCGATTCCTCGCCAAGTTCCCTTTGTTGTTTGGATACTGGAAGAAATATGCCGACCTCGAGTTCTCGATTGCCGGCACCGAGGCTGCAGAAATGGTAAGAATGCGACCCGATATATGCGCGATGCGCGAGGCGAGTAACGGAAAGTCTGACATGAGACAGGTCTTCGAGCGTGGTATTGCCAGTATCGCGACATCAGTGGATCTATGGACGGAGTACTGTTCCTTCAAAGTCGAGACAAGTCATGATCCGGACGTGATCAGAGAGTAAGTATACTGGACACTTTCCTTCCCTTTTAACACAGACAAATGCTACGAGACGACCTGGTTGCCGTGTGCCCTTCACGTGGAGAATCATGGGGGTTGCAGACGGTGAGAACTGCCAAAACAAGTCGCTCCATGTTTGATATTATTCTCACCCGAATGATCAGGACCTTTCCTTCTGCACATGACACGTTCGCTTTTACCTCACTCAAATCTACACATTTGTTCGGATCGGTTGGAATTTGATGGAGAATAGTTTAGCACATGCCCTTCCCGTATTTGCACTCCTCGCCATTTCCACATCCCCCTTCTACCCTGCCCAAGTTCCCACTAACATGACAAACTAGACTTTTCGAACGCGGTGCTTCATCAGTTGGCCTTGATTTCCTTGCACACCCCTTCTGGGACAAATATCTGGAATTCGAGGACCGTCTTGAGGCTCAAGACAAGATTTTCGCTATCCTTAGCCGGGTCATCAAAATTCCTATGCACCAGTATGCACGCTATTTTGAACGTTTCCGTCAGCTTGCGCATGCTCGTCCCCTTCCAGAGCTTGTCTCTCCAGAAATCCTCGCCCAATTTCGCGCCGAGGTCGAGGCTGAAGCGTTTCAAAGTGGACCAAAAGGAGAGCAGGAACTTGATCGAGAAATACGTACCAAGATTGACAACTTCCATCTCGAGTCATTTACACGAACTCAAACCGAGACGACGAAACGATGGACTTATGAATCAGAGGTCAAACGTCCATACTTTCATGTCACCGAACTTGATGCACAGCAATTAGCCAATTGGCGAAAATATTTGGACTTTGAGGAGGCAGAGGGTGACTATGTTAGATCCGTATTCCTCTACGAGAGATGCTTGGTCACCTGTGCCTTTTACGATGAATTCTGGTTTCGCTACGCACGTTGGATGTCTGCTCAGCAAGGAAAGCAGGAGGAGGTGCGAAATATCTACCAACGCGCCAGCACTGTCTATGTACCCATTAGCCGACCCGGTATCAGATTGCAATATGCATACTTTGAAGAGATGTCAGGTCATGCCGATGTTGCAAGAGATATTCACTCTGCTATTCTCGACCGTATGCCGGGTCATGTCGAAACCATTGTCTCGTGGTCGAACCTCGAAAGACGTCAAGACGGTCTTGAAGCTGCTATCGAGGTATTCAAGGGTCAAATTGACTCGCCAGCAGTGGATCTATTTGCAAAGGCCGCATTTGTTGTTGAGTGGGCTACTTTGTTATGGAAGATTCAAGGTTCTGTTGACGAGGCTCGTCTGGTTTTCCAAAAGAACCAGCAATGGTATTTGCAGAGTCGTCATTTCTGGGCCAAATATCTCGAATTTGAGCTCAGCCAACCGACTAGTTTGGCCACCGAGTCTGAACACTATGTAAGAATCAAGAAAATTCATGACGATATGATCCAGCAAAGCCGAATGAGTTTAGCTACGAAGAAGGACCTCAGCAATTACTATTTACTGTATTTGCAACAAAGGGGTACAAAAGAAGCGATGAAGGAGTTTTTGCAAGTTGATAGAGAGCTTAATGGGTGAGTTTGTATTACATCCACCTTCTTTTGATGTATGACTAACATTTATCAGACCAGTTTCTATTCAACCTGTTAATCTCAAGGGTGAGGGTAACAAGGGATTGGAAAACGGACACGCTGGTGAGATTGACGAGGCCATTTTAAAGAAGGGCGAAGTACAATACCGTACCTACTTTCAGCAGCGTGGAGAACTACCACTCAATGCTCAAGGGCTTGCGGCATTTCACTGAGGACGGGTGGGAGGGAGGATTGGGGGGGTCCTCTTATTTGCATGTAAAATAGCTGCAGTGCGCGAATCTTTTCTCCTTTTCTTCTTCTTTCTCTTTTTGAACGAAAATGATGGGGATTTGTATTCTAGCTTTCTGGCTGGTTGGCTGGCCGGCTCTTGGATGGAGTGGAGCGCCTTTGCTTTACGGCCTAAGTACAAGATGAATCTTTTTCTTTTCTTACTTCTTCTTTTCTACAGATTTTAGTTGTCCACTTTTTTATTAGTTTAGGTGTGGTGTGATGGGGAGGATGGAAATCATAATAATATAAAAGTTGATGATTGCTTGATTTTATGAGATATCGACTTCTCTTTTTTTTTTCTCGTTGTAATTTTTCACTGTGCGGGCGGGGTCGAGGTTGATGGTGTTGGGGATGGGAAAATGGATTGATTGTTCTTGCTTGCTTGTAGTATGTTTGGGTAGTTGGTATGGAAAAGGGATGGGGGTTCTGTGTGCTTTTTTTTCTGTTTGTTTTTATGCCCTTTTGGGTGGATGGTTGAAGGTGACTGGCTTGACTGATTGGAATTTGGAGGTGGTTTGGGTGATGGATTAGAGGGGGTGTTGTCATGTTGATGTTGGGATTGGGAGTTGAGGGTTTGTGTTGGTGAATGCCTTTTTGGGGGGGGGG